TTCGCCTCAGCCGATCCAACATGTGGATCGGCTGAGCCGAACCTCAGGCAGGCTTCTCACTGCTGTTCGGGCTATTCTTAAAAATGCAGAACAGCAGTGAGTGAATAGCCGAATGCCGCTGAGCGGCATTCAGCTTGGCTGTTCTGCTCGGTCCCTCGGAGGGACCGAGCAGAACAGAAAAAGAGTGAATAAAGTAAAAAAAAGTAAATAGAAAACGATTGTGCAGAGCTAGCAGTGACAGCTAGCTCCACCCAATAGTTTTCTATTGTCCGGCGGCTCTGCTGCTGTAAAAAAAAAAACGAAAAAAAAACTCTCCCGGGCGCTCTGGGAGCCTCCCGCTCCCGGCCGCCCAGGAGAGAAACAGTGCTGTGTCTCTTTTTCTTTATTCTGACACGAGCGATGTGGGATGCACCTGATGGGGAACTGCAGCAGAGGGTGGGTACAATGCTAGTTTACTATTGGCTATTGCAAATTGAAATAGCCAATAGTAATGTCCCAATGCTTTTCAATGGGAAAAATCTTTTTTTTTTTCTATTATGACATGCTCGTGTCAGAATAAAGAAAAAAAGACACAGCAGTGTTTCCCGGGGCACCAGGGAGAGTTTGCTGTTTGTAGATCAGTGTCCCTGGTTAGCAGGTAACCAGGGACGCTGATCTCACTGCAAGTGGCCGGAGCCAGCCGTAAGATCACGGCTGGCTCCGCCCAGCTGTCAGAAGCAGGCCAGCTTCAGCTTTCAGCACGGCTCAGCCGAGCCGATGCATATGCATTCGGCTTGGCTGAGCCGCTCGGCCATGATCGGGAGCTGTACGGGCTATTGTGAATAGCCCGTACAGCACCCCTTCGGTTCTACTGAACCGAAGGGGTCCTGGGGCCGAAGCTAGCCGAAGGATCGGCCGAATCTACGGCCAGATCCTTCGGCAGCTTCGTGAATAGACCCCTTAGTGTCTTTGGGTCAAGGGGTATGCAAACTCCCTGTGTATGTATATCTGATTATCACAATCATCACCAACTGGTAAAATAGAAGCTTGATAGTTAAATACCGTTGGGTATGTATTAAATAGCTATTACACCTTTCTTCTAGGAAGACTCAAATCCCAGAAATGGCAAAAACATGCTTTGCACAACCTTTCCCAGTAAGATTGAAGTATGACACTTCAGAGGTCAATCACATGTACACATTTTTTTTCTCATATACAAATAGTTTATGCATATAAATGATGAACATTTGCACATGCTTTGCCCTCTCTGTTTGCTGGCTGTATCATACTATAAGGTAAGAGAAAAAAATTATGTTAGATAGTCTGTCATTTATGTTTTTTTACTAATAACTTTAATTCCTTTAATGAAATCTTTATTACCAAAGCCATTTGGAAGTCTTTTATTGCTAATATTCCTCGTAGGTACTAGGCAGTTCCTAATAAATACATAAAGTATATCACCAAAGGACATAGGCCCATAAAGACTATGGGGGGGGGGAATTGATCAAAACTGGAGCAGATACAATCTGGAGCAGCTGTGCATGGCAACCAATCTGCTTCTCTTCAGTTTGTTTAGTTAAGGTTTTACTAGTTATGTCAGTGTAGTGACTTTTTCCGTTGATAGGCTTCACTTTAAAGCAAATCTATTAATCTGTGTGAGGCACAATTAAGTACATCTGTCTACCAATTTACCTAAAATACAGCTTCAAGTCATTATATATAGAGCTTCAAATTCCGCTAAATTTTAGTTTCTGCTTTGTCTATATCATATCGATGTGAAGCTTTCAGCCGTGTAGATGAAGAAAGACAGATTTGCCTTTTCTTTAAAACAGTATTAAGTGAATTTCGGAATGATCTGCAGAGAAAGAAGTAAATGAAAGGGTCCAGACATGCATTTAGAGATGAAAAAAATAATGTACTCTCTTTAACGTAGAAGAGAGTACTCTGAGCTGAACACTTGAACACATCCCGTGTCTGACTTAATGTGTATGGGATTCTAGCAAAGTGGTATGGGACAAAACATACAAAGAATATACCAATAATAATAAACACTTTTACATTGACTCTTTTTCTGGATTTTGATGGTTCCCTTCGTGTTCTTTTAAATGACTGGAACAGCTTTTTGGTTATAAGAAGATAACACACTACTATGACAGCAAAATTAACCCAGAAAATGATCTGACATATGAAGCTCACAATTTCATGCCAAATCCGTCCGAAATCAGACTTGAGGTTTATACAGTTCCGTATGTTTTTTGGTGTCATTGGCTTATTGGTTAAAATCATATTGGGTAATGAGAGGGAAAACATTATTATCCATATTGCAGCCGATAGGATTTTGGCAGAACGCAAGTTTGTTGTACAAGAGTTACCAAATGGCCTTGCAGTTTTTTTATATCGATCTATAGTTATTAGACCAAGAAAAATTATGCTGATGTACATTGTAAAGTAGAAAACTACTGAGGTGTAGCGACAAGCAAACCCCTTTAAAGCCCAGAGTCCGAGTCCAGCATCTCCAAGAATCTTGAATGGGAATGTCATAATCATCAGAGAGTCAGAAATCACAGAGTTCTTTAGGAAAATGACGAAGTTTGATTTACTTGGCAACTGGAAAAACACAACTATTGCCAAACCGTTCATTATTGTCCCAGCAATGAAGATAATTGAATATAGAACAGGAAAGAGAACTTGGTTGATACGGTAGTCTCTAGAACAATTAAAATTCTTAGCTAAATTTGTAACATTGTGTAGTTTGAAGTCTATTATGAGTTCGGAAAATCCTAGAATAGAAAAAAATGGTTATCAGTTAAATAGCCCATGCATGAAATTCAGTCCTCTTGGTGTACAATACTATTCCTCATTATAGAACGATTACTGATATTGGGGTTTTTTTTAATGCCTTTTTTATGTTAAAGTGAAAGTTTAAATAAGTGACACAAATAAAGATTTTGCATCATTGTATGTCAATGTAGAATCCCAAGCTGATATGAATATTTGAAATAAATGAGGGGTCAAATGGTTATCTTCCAGAATAAAGTTATCTGTTTTCAGCTGTTTCTTATCCTGTTCATATATCATAAGGGCAATGTAAAATATCGATATTGGATATCAAGTGCAACTAAATAAGAAAGCAAAGGGCTAGGACCAAAGCTGCTTTGTGCCAAGGCTTTCACTAGATTGTCCTTATTGGTGGATTCTCAGGAGCTTGCAGAAGAGTTTATTGTACTCCATTTGTCAGCTTCTGCATCATCATGCATGTGTTGAATAGAGGATGGATACTGGCCATTGAAAATAATGACAAGCCACTTGACAATATATGCCAAGGTAAAGACAGATTTTGCCAATATTATCTATTGCCATAATCGACTGTGGCCCATGTGCGTGTTAACATGCAGTATTTTCAAACTAACATGCATTGCATTAAGGCAGACAATTAATTTACAATGCAATATCATCAGAAGAAATAGCAATGGAAGAAAACCCTACACCTTTTTTAATGTAGCACAGCAAAAAAATGGCATGTGCACTGTGGTAGGCTGCAGTGCAGAGGTCTGTTGACACTGTTGACACCTACTGTACTCGTGTGTTGGGATGCTTTTCTAAATGAATGGGACCAGAGTACACCATAGCACACAGAGTGCCATGCGTTATCATGCTAATTATATATGCATTTTGCCACACATTAACTTAACATATAAGTTTGAAAGGGGTACATATTGGTTTGAAGGTTTAAAGGCTGCATCTTGGGATTGTTTCTAAAAACATGTGTGACTTTTTATGGTTCATTTAGTAAAGGGCAAATAAGCTGTTACATTTTTAAAGGAATTTTCCCTTTGCTTAGTGAATGAGGGGAAGCTCTGTTGATTTCCAATCTTGTGCAAGCAAAAATGTAGTTTTTTTTGTTTGTTTTTTTCCTTGCACGTGATCAGGTTTTCTGTGCAAAGTGAATTTTCACCACATTCACTAACCGAAGGGAAAATTCCCTATGTCTTGTCAGTTGGCTAAACATTTATATACAGTATGAAAAGAAAAGAGTAGTTGCGGGATAGTGGCCACTGCTTGTTGAAATGAAAATATATCAGTAAATAATATTGCTTACCAACATGTAACCAGAATCAGCCTTGGTATTATAGAAAACAATTCAAACAATTCTTCCCCACACAGCTACCTCCTCATGTATCACTTCTCCCTCCCTTCTAGATTGTAAGCCCTCACAGGCAGGCCCTCCTTACCATCTTGTCTTGAATTGCATTGTGATTGTAATGTCCTCCTTATATTGTAAAGCGCTGCACAAACTGTTGGCGCTATATACATCCTATGTAATAATAATAATAAAACTTCATTTTTTAGAAATTTCCACAATATTCCTCATATTCCATGACTATTTCCCCTGTTTGTTAATATAATAGCAGCACTGGGCTCATATACATGGACATTTGTGAGTATAATTATTGCGGCATCTAAACTGAAGTAGATGCATTGCAAAATAAAAGTAGGTCACGTTATGTGATACTGTGCTAAATATTAATTTACCTTGTATGGAGTAATGTGTGCTTCTATGTGAGATTTTTAGAAGCTCCTCGATGTATTTTATCTTTAAAAAGTTGTTTATTTTTTTAATTTTCATGCAAATGCACAACATGCAAAGTTATAAACACAACTGCACGTGAATGTATCATTTCCCATCAAATAAAAACATCTATTTAATTAGTCATATGTAGGAGCGCTTTGTACAGATTACCCTAAACCATGAAACGTTAAACTTGCACTTGTGGTTAACAAATAGACCCATATGTCATATACAGTCACTGAAATGCCCAAGATGTGATTCATACAACATATATTTGGTTCATATATGCTACTCTAAATATCAGTAACAGTATTGCAATGGGTCTTATTATAATTTGCATGAAAAGATTGTCATTTTGTAAAAAAAAAAAAAGTTTTAAAACTCATGGACAAAGCCCTACTGTTATTTTGTAGAAAGACAGCTAAAACAGTGAATCTAAGTACATCATATGTTGTTAGTATGTCGGATGATGTGTTATAATAGATAGATGCCTAAGCAATATATAATGTTGTAGTAACTTCCAAGACTTAAGTAATATATTACCTGAATATTCCATGGTTCAGTTATTTGGCACTTGTGATTGTAGAAGAGTAGATATATTGGTCAAAAAGACAGCATTATCCTATGCATTTGCATCCAGAGAGCCACAAGATCAATGGTTTATTTTCTTGTACTTTTCCCATGAAATGATACAATTCTCCGCGGTTGAGCAGTAGAAGTGTGGAGCTATAAACTTATACTGTACGGGATATGTAAGCTCTATAATTATACCGGATGCATTTTTCAGTTTCTCTTCTTCAACAAGACTTTAATACTTCTGCTTTTTTCCTAACCTGAAATAAAAGAATGCAAGTTCAGATAATACTAAGTCTACACACAAACATAAGTCAAAAGATCAAGGGGCTATTAGGCTTTGTGAATTTAGACTACATACAAACATACATTATGTATCAGTCAAAAGATCGAGTAGCTGTTAAGCTTTGGAAAGTATATTTTTTGTTTTTGATAATACTAAATGACAATGCTTCAAGTCTATGTAGTAAGGTCCAAATATGTCATTAAATAATACATTTTCCGAATGCAGACATGCACATTTATCTAATAACCATTCTTTTGGAAATCCATCTACAACTCTTTTGTAGTTTTGCATTGATTGTAGAAGGTGTAGATTTTTTTTGATTTTTTTATTGCTATCCGCATATCACCTGGGGAGATTTGTTCTCACTGTTTTTCACCCTTTTTATCTGTTAACTCTGGTTGGAACCTGAGGGGAACACAAGATTTTATAGTTGTCATCAAAACAGAAGGTGCGGAACACCTTCTTCGCATGTCGCTTGTTTCAGAAAGTAAAATACCTTCGCTGTGTAAAAAAACAACAATAAAAAAATATTGCAGTTCCCTAGATAAATAAAAATATGAAAAAACCTAATGAGGGCTAGATTTATCTCCTATCACTACATTAATATATATATATATATATATATATAATCCACAATATACACTGTTTGCAAATCCACATATTTTTTAGCTTTAAATAGGATATAGAAGTGTTAGATCCTCTGTCAGGTTTTTATTGTGAAATGAAGAAAAAAAGCCAGCACTCCAAGTGAACTTTCAAGATTACAGTTTCCAATATCAGAAAAAAAAACCACCATAGCAGACCCGCTATTTTAGAGTATCAAACAGAGAACAATAACCACAACCATGTGGCCATATAAGGTCAAGGCTGGGGGTGGGGAATGCCCCAGTTGAAGCTGATTAGACCGGCACTGATGGTTTCTTTCCAGATTCAGATGAGCTCAGGTTTGGAGCTCAATCCTAGTCTCAACACACAGTTGTCCTAGTATGCTGATCAAGGACCATTGTTATATACCTTGTGAAATTTACATTGTCCCTAATACACTTTTCTCTCAATCTTTTTTTTTTTTTCCATTATTATTTGGAATAGACACCATTGTTTTTTAACTGGCCCCTTTATACCTCTTTATAAACCAATACAGTTTTAATATTAAGACAGACTGGAAAAACTTGTTGACTCATGGATAAAACACAATGCTTTGAGTTTCGTTGGGAGGTGGGGAGGCTAGATATACTAATTGTGTTAAATAAATTATGTGAGATGCTAGTGCAGTGATCAATCTGCTTAAACTGACATTTTAGTTTTGCTGGAGAGCTCTTTTTTTTACATTTTTTATCGCCCCTAGTGGCAGTCAGAATAAATAGTGATGATTGATTTCACCTATAGCAGCTGCCTTTCGAGGATACTTTGCCACATTGCTGGTACTCACATGCCCCCAGGTCTTGAACTATATACTCTGACTGTAGAATGTTGCAGACAGACCCCAGGTATACAGTAGAGGTACTACTGGTGATGGAGGACACAAAGTGTTGCCTCTGCAGTGGAGACAGGGTTAGTGATGGACAGAGCAGGGTCAAGTGCAGCCTGCAGAAGAAACGGTTATGTAGCAAGGTCAGAGCAGGTAGTGGACAAGAGTGTTTTCCATGGCCAGGCTGACGTCAGGAATAGCAGCAGACGGAGAGCATTCCAGGGACAGGCTGAAGTCAGGATTAGTGGCAAAAAAAAGAATATTCCAGGGACAGGCTGAGGTATGGACTGGAGGCTGACAGAGTATTCCCGGGACAGGATGAGGTCAGGATTGGAGGCAGTATTCCCAGGGACAAGATACTAAGACAGGACAGGCAGCAAGATATTAAGACAGGAACAGGATGCAAGGTACAAGACAAGATATTCAAAGACTAAATGCAGGTTTATGAAGATGAACCAGTCACCAGAGCCCTGGGCTTGTCAAGCTTAAATAAAGCAACACTTGCCCATCTCAAGGCTGGGGAAAGGGAGTGGTGTGTGGCCAGGCTTTTTAGCATGCAAGTGCAATCTTTACACTTCCCCGGATAAATTGCTCAACATACAATTTTAAAGATGGATTTAATTTTTTTTTCCAGAACGTAGTAAAATGTGAATGATATGTTACATGCTTAGAGGCACTATAAGCTTGTTATAGTACACCATTTTCATTTATTTCACAGACTACATTGTCTCACTTTGTACTGAACTGCTAGAGAGTAAATAACATCTGTTATAAGCCGATATTTACTTAAGCTGTGCGTCTACACTAAAACAGTAATTAACCTAAGCAAATATCCTTTTATATAATAACCATTATTTATATAAATACTGCTGCATTTTGAAGTCTTGGAC